ACGGCTCAATGTGCATAATCTTGAATCCATCACGGTGGAAAGATTTGAGGAAGTAATACAGGAAGAACCAGTCAGAGATGTTCCTTGGGTTGATATAATTCCTGGAAATAGGTTACCAAACAATGGGTTTGGTCTTGAGTATACAGCTCTGAAGGTAGTAAATGGAGAAATTGAGGTTGTGATTGAAGAGGCAGATGTGGCCTCGTAGAGGAAATATTGGGAAAACGCATTCATCATGTACGTGTTGGGTGGAGAATTGACTATGAATGGAGTGAAAAAATTTATGATGAAAACTTGGAATTTTGCAAGGTTATTTTATTATTAGGTTTCAATCCAAGGAAGACAAGGACACCGTTCTGAAAAGAGGTACTTACACCATTTTTAGCAAGCCTATGTTTCTACATGAATGGAGTCCCAAGTTTTCTCTAAAGGAGGATATCACTCGGGTTATATGGGTAACTTTCCCTCAACTCCCTTTCATCTTTTGGGCAGAGTATAGGGAAAATAACGAGTGCTTTAGGCAAACCCATGACGACAGACGAATGTACTGCTAAGAAATTGAGGGTTACTTATACGCGTGTGTGATGTGGTGGGAGAACTGACTTGAGGTTTTTGCGTTTTGTCGTAAATGTCGCGGTTAGTAAGAGTCGCCATCGACTTTTCTTTTATCCAAAAGGAAAGGTGAAAAAGCATAGGAAAGACCTTTGAGATGTTTTCTTGAGTTCGGGGGGTAGATTATGAAAAGGGAAGGTGCTAGCACCCTTTTTATCCATGGTTTTCCATGGGCTCTTAGTTACTTGCTTAGATCACTTGCTTTGGTTTGTTTGAAATGGTGTTTGGTGTAATTTTGAAAGTATTTTGTAAAAGAGGCCATTCATTTTAGCAATCTTTGTAATGGTTCTCGTTCGTAAGAATGTATACAAAGATGTTTGTCTTTTGAAAATGTTTTCAATGTTTGTAAGATGTTTTTGAAATGTGTATGTGTTTGAAAATAGCAAGGATTGTTGTTTGAAATGGAGCAAGTAACTAGAATCTATCTACTTACTCAAATGTCTTTCTTGTGCATTTTCTATTCCTTTGATATTGTTGACTTACCATTGATTTGGTAAGCAACCCTATCTTTGGATGTAAACGGGACGGGCGTAGGTCATCGTATAACCATGATTAGCAATGTTTGCAAAGTATCTTAGCATTTTGAGGGACTAAGATCATTTTGTAAGGCAACTTTTGAATAGTGTCATCGAGGGACTATGATCTTTATATTTATTTTGTTTTGCCAAGATACTTCGCATGCGTAATATGGCTATTTTTGTTTTAGGCAACCAAGTGGGAGAAACTCTAAGGGTGCTTGTGTGCAATGTGTATCATTTTCATGCTTTTGATTTTGTCTTGTATTTAGGGTTTTCTATTTGGCTTTGTTTGGTTCTTGTCATACAAATCCTAATTACTAATCATGACATATAAAGCGATAAATTGCGTAATGTAAATATACTAAGTTATTACAACAATTTTATGGGAGGGGGAATACAAGTTTGAATGGGGATTTGCACAAATATAAAGCTAAATACATTATTACAACCAAATCGAACTTGTGCGAATTAAGATAAATATAATACAATATTTAAAATGTAATGCAAGGTAATGTACATGTAAAGAGATTTTTGTGTCTTATTTTTGTGTAAAAGAAAATTTAATTTAAACCTAAAAAAAAAATAAGAGAAATGATTTAATTTTTTGAAAGGGATTAAACCCTAATTTTTATTTAAAAGAAAATAATGTTTCTATATTATTATTTTGTGTATTTTTTATATAAAAATAAATAATATTGTATATAAATATTAAAATTAAATATATATACAAAAAATAGGTATTTGTAAGTATGAAATGTAAAATAAAAATGTTAAGTTTATTTAATTATATTTATAATTTTATTAAGAAAATAAATTATATTTTATCAAAATAAACTATATTTTTTATGTGAGAAATAATCAAAAAATAAAATAAAACGGTAAAAATAATTAAATTATTTTTTACGATTTTTTATCATTAAAGAAAATAATTAAAAGTATTAAATATAAAAAATGAAAAATAAAATATGAAAGGAATTAGCACGGGTGAGATAGCAAATCAGTGGTAGTGCTAGCAAAAACAAACAGGCCCAGGAAGCAAAAAGCCCAACAGAGCTCGTCCATGTCCTGCCTTCTTCTTCCTCACGCCTTGGCCAGTTCAACCTGCAACTTCCTCATGCTTGCATAAAAATGAAAACTTATAACATGAAAAATGTAGCATTTGTCACGATTCCAACCATGTAAATTATGTAATCTAACTATCAAAGATCAAAGAGAATTTTAAAATCCGTAATTTCTAACCTAAAATTTTCAGAGATTTCAACTTCCAAATTCTCTTAGCACAAGTAAAATCAATGCAAGATGATGATATGTATAGCTTCGTTAGGATGAGAACTACACTTTTTGTTCACAGATCGTGGCCTGAGGTTGCC